ATTACAGCAACCAGTTAGTATTCTTCAGAACTGTTCTATTTTATATTTCAAGGTTACAGCTTCTAAAACTCTACAGTAGTCATTCTATTGCAAGAGGCAGCAAGTTCACTGGCCTTGCTGTGACCCTGAGGTCAGAAATTATGGAACATACAGTCATAAAATGCCTCAGGGTGAGATATCTATGGCAGAAGGGCAGGAGACTGTTGCTGTGTCTTCTCTCTAAGACAAAGCTCAGGAAGCAAAGTCATCTTTACTTCTCTGACTTTAGCTCTGTCCTCATATCAGAGTTCTCTTTTAGCAGTTATCAATTGAATATATTTAATAATAGCAAAGTCTTCTGTAGCAGAGCATGCTGATGATTATACATTCCTGATAAAATTAAAACATAAGCATGGATTTCCTGATTCTTGCTGGTAGTCTCTGAAATTCTTGATAATGCACAAGGATCCTCATAAGTATTAAATGCACTGAACTTCTTCCGCAGCTTTCTGTATTTTCTACATTTTATTGACCATTTTCTCTTGCAAGCTATTTTTAAATATTTTGTTTCTTATTACCCATATACTCCCCAGTGGTTTACTCTCATTTCCTCTTCTTCCATCCTTCCCTTTAATTCTAGAGGGAAAATGTGTTTCACAGCGAATTCCTTTGGGTCATCTGGGAGGGATCCCCGAAAACACTGTAGAGAAAAAGCCCGACCGAGGCTGCCTGGAGACCACAGGGATAAGACATACCACATTCTATGGGTTGCAGCCCAAAGGGGTGGGGAGGGGTGGGTTAGGCATGAGCCTTGCACCATTACTACCAATCATCTATTCAGAGTTTGGTGTTACACAGCACTCTGATGTGCTCTCCCCCCCACCTTTAGGATGATAGCTATGGCATCACCCATATTTTAGATACGATCCATTTTTCCCAACTCTTCGATTGTCCTTGTCTGACAGTTAGTGCCAATTTTTAGCCTTAGAATTTTTCATTCACCTTTCAAATGTATTAGTTTTGAAACTTATGCCATCGATTGCTTCAAACGCACACACACTCTGTGAATCACATAGGGGCAATTTAGCTCTTTGCTTCAAATGATTTTTAAGAACTATTCCCCCCTCACCCCCAGGTAACTTCACTACTCTGAAAATTTTCTATAGTGCTATCTGGAATGCCAACTTTTCGTTTCTGGGAAATGGTTAAGGACTATCTCTCAAGTATTTTCTGCCATCTGCTCACCCACGTTCACCTTGCAGCCTTCCATTCAGCCCCTTATCACTTTCACAGTTCGCAGCTCTTCTCTGCACTCTGTAAGTGACTGTTTCCCTTACTCCATCTTCCAGTTCATGAATTCTCTCTCTTTACATGGGTCTAATCTCTGTTTGATTCATCTGAAGTTACCTACTTTCTCCTTTTGTAGATGATGTCAAGGTAGTCATTCCAGAAAGACTGTCATTTTATCTGGTCTTCTCCATTGTAATTTTTAGTTATTTATATATTGTCAATAACTTTAAACCAATAACTTCTACAATGAGATGTAATTGAAGCATTATTGGTAATTGACAGTTCTGAGAGAGATGACTCACTTCCCATACTAATGGCTGATTCTGTCTGTGCGCCCGCCTCTCTCTCTCTCTCTCTCTCTCTCTCTCTCTCTCTCTCTCTCTCTCTCTCTCTGTTTAGCATATGTGCAGATGCCCAAAGAGGCCAGAAGAGGCGATCAGATCCCCTAGAACTGGCTGGCATTACAGGCTATGGTGAGCCATCTAACCTGGTGCTGGGAATTGAACCTGAGATTTCCCCAAGAGCAGCCAGTGCTTGTAACTGCTGGGCTATTTCTCCATTCCCGTTTAACATTTTATGTTAAAAGTCTCTCTCTCTGTTTAGCATATGTGCAGATGCCCAAAGAGGCCAGAAGAGGCAATCAGATCCCCTAGAACTGGCTGCCATTACAGGCTATGGTGAGCCACCTAACCTGGTGCTGGGAACTGAACCTGAGATTTCCCCAAGAGCAGCCAGTGCTTGTAACTGCTGGCCTATTTCTCCATTCCCGTTTAACATTTTATGTTAAAATTTTTGCTCACCACATCTGCACCTGAAAAATATGTATGTCACCATGGTTGCCATGTCACATCTATGCATAACGTAGGCTTAGAATCTGTCTTCCTGTGGCTGACATTTTCCCTGCCACTTCTACAGATGCGCAGGAAAGTGACCTCATCTGTTAGTCTCTGTAATAGGACTGAAAAGCCCTTATGGCTTGAGGAATTGGTGAGAAAAATTATCCCAATCATCAGCTTCTTGTTTCTAAATATGTTTAATTCATAAACTTCATATATATATCTCACAGGTAAGCAGAATTTTTCACTTCCTATTCTGATGGAGATTTTCTCCTTAATTTTTAGCGTTAGAAAACTTTCAAAGTCTTCTGTTAAGTTCAACTATAGATTGCTGATCCATTTTCGTTATTTTTACATTGTTCAGCATTTTCATACGTTTATAGTGGGAACTATTTTGGGTTGATCTGTTACACTGTGAAAGGACATTGTACTTGCTTGCACATATCTGTTTTCAGAAGCTGAAAACAGAAGTTTAAACCCAGAATGAAACTCAGATTGGAATTTCTTTCTCTCTAGCTTCAAATCACAATTATAGTTTTGTAGATGAAAGAAGTCTGAAATGTTCACTTGAAAACTTACCACATAATCATCTATAACAATGAACAGTTCAATAAACTTTTCTTTGTAGAAGCCCTGAAAATTTACAGAAAATTCAATGAAATATGTTAGTAGGAAAAAATGTAATGGTTTTATCATGATTTGTTAATACTATTTTTATTTGAAATACCACCATATTATTAAAACATGTGGCTCACATATTGGATTTTGGTAATTGGAAGCATCATTCAATATTTGACTTTTTTCCTTTTAGTCGTTGAATTCAAATAAAAGCTGAACTTAATTATTACAAATTAAGTTCATGGTATTGAGTGTTTCTTTTCTCCTTTACAAGGTAAATGGTTCATAACTAAGCTCATGTGACACTCACATACCTGTGTATACAGACACACACTCATGTGTATGCATGCATACACAATATATACATGGCTGAGAGCTAAGACTAACAGGTAAGAACGTCCTTATTCATCCTACTTCTCTCTCTGAGCCTCTCACAGTCCTTACTGGTCTACAGTCTACAATTCTGAAGAAACTTAGAAGCATTGTTAATTACAGGTCTTTTTTTTTTTTTAAATAGAAAATACCCAAACCAGGAAATTCTTCTGTTTTCAGTTCTATGGTGCCTGTATATTCTCTGAGGATAAAGCCAAGGATCATTGTTCAAAGATCTGATTCGACCTTTGTGGACCGCATAATTATTTGTTCATTGAGTCAGTCTACCAAGAAACACCTGTTAGGTGTATGATAGATTTCAGACACCCACTGTCTAGACATGAGCCTGTGAAGAAAAGCAGGCTTGCAGCCTACCAGCAAATAGCTAGTGGCGTTTGAAGGGGTTAACATCTAATTCTGTAGAAGCCTGAGAACACCGGAAACTCAGAAACTGAACGTGTTATCATCCTTAATCATCGTTCCTCGTTAGAACATTGGCTCTAATGACAGTGGAAAGTGGTTTCCCCATAACATCTAATTCTGTAGAAGCCTGAGAACACCGGAAACTCAGAAACTGAACATGTTATCATCCTTAATCATCATTCCTCATTAGAACATTGGCTCTAATGACAGTGGAAAGTGGTTTCCCCGCCTTTATTGAAATTAATGGAACAAATTGAAATTTATTGAAGAGAATAAACTTTCTAAATAGACATCAGAAAGTTTGAATTTCAGACTTTAGACAATGACATATTCTTTTCTGAGTGTGATCTACAATTCCCTAACTAGATGGACAAGTTTTTTCTTAGAAGATCATAAAGGAAATAAGAAGTACTTTTGCTCAGGTGAACAGGATTTAAGTAGCAATACTCACTTCCACTTTCTGATCTTCCTGATACTTAGGATCTATTGCAGCAGGTTTCTTGGTAAAATTGAGCCCGGCACAGGAATCGCTGACAACATAGGGCACCTTGTAATTGTATTTGAACACCAGATGCTCTCCCTCATCTGAGTATTTCATTGGCTCGATGAGATACCGCTGGCCGTTCACTCTGAAGAAGCCCCTGTGGAAATTGCCACATAATGTTATTCAAAGCTGCAGTTACCCTATTCCATTGTATTGACATTGCCTTTACAAGAAAGGGAAGCTACAGTTGGGTGATTTGGGTGGCAAAGAATTTAGATGACACACAACCTTAGTAATGGTTTCTGAAGATCAATTTAATCTGGCTTTTCAGACGTTTGACAGGATGGCTTCTGCTTCCAATATGATTAGAACGGCATTTTCCACCTGAGATTGCCTCAGGGTGTTTTGCATTAATTTGATGGATTTCTTTACCTATCATGTACTAATTGTGGAATAAGTTTATGAAGGTATAAAAACTATTGTGAGATAATTTCATCATAAAAAGGGGTTCTGAGCTTTGAAAACGCTGGAGCTGCTCAAGGCAAGTCACTGCAAGTGGAAACAGAACTTCCTTTCCCTTCCACCCCAACCCCTTCTCACGGCCTCCACCTTTGTCCTCAAATCCAAGGTCAACAGCAAATTCTAAACTAAATTTCTGAACTTCTGTTTTCTAGAAACCAGAAATATCCTGCTAGTAAAAAGAGAAATGACCGCAGCATTGTAGTGTCATAGGAACCTACCAATCACAGTAAGGAGACCTACATTTTGGAATCATTTCTACTGCTTGCAAGTTCGATGTTCTTAAGCATGTCTGTGATTTTAGCATCTTGAACTCTAACATGACAGCACATGCTATGTGGTATTCATGGATCTTCTGACTATGCATCCTCTGATCATGTGCTCCCAGACTCAGTTTTCTGAGGGTTATGAATTACATATTTTGTTAAGCATGAATGTAAGACTAGAGTTCAAGTTCATACTCACTGCAGAAAGGATACAGTACCTCTTTCCATTAATTTTTATATTTACTAGAGTTGGAAGCATAAATCAGATAAGTGTATGTCTTTACAATCTGTAGTTCCATAAGCAATTTCATAAAATTCATAAAGGAAATATACGAAGATGCGCTGCCTTACCTCAGACCATTACAAGTGCTGATACTGGCAGCAGAATCAAACTCATGTATGATGGAACCTTGGTAAAAACAGTGATCCTAAAACAGAAGACTATTAGGGTAAGTATAAATATTGATGCTGTATAAATAGCAACATTAAATTTATTTCTGTTTATAATAAATCTGTATTTTAAACTGACATTTTTTTCATAAAGTGACATATTTTTCTGTGTTTATTCATGATATTCATTTAAGATATTTAAGCCTCCTAATTCGATGATTACTTTGTGTCAACCCATGCTTAGATTCTTTCCTCACAAAGTTCTACTGATATGTTTCAGATGTGACCTTTTTATATAGAAATACGGGTTCTTTAATAGACCTTCAAATCTTTGACAAACCAACTGTCTGTGCTAGGCATTGTCATTTCCCCAGATGCCTGTGAAATCAAGCCAAGCTCTTGATGCTTCCTAAACTTAGGTCTTGTTCTCCACCCGTCTCCTTAATGCTCTTCTCTCCTGCCTCTCTGCTTCAATCCAGCCAGCATCTTTATTACTTCTGCTTGGTGCTTTATTCAAAGAAATGCTCATCTAATTACTCCAGTATGTCCAACACCTGCCTTTGTCACCCTGGAGGTGACACTTTCCACACCCTGCAAGGACCTCACACTTTTACAGGATAATGATCTCTCCCTACACAAGAACTCAGTTTTCCTCTTGTCCTATTTTCGAAGGCTACATGGAGACGTGGAGATCATAGACGTTGACAGTTGCTTTAAATAGATGAAATGGACATTTTTTTTAAAAAAAACATACTTTTAGTCAGAGGGGATAATATTCTTGTTCAGAAGGCAAGTTATGGAAAGCAGCGAGAAGGTAAAAATACATTCTATATCCACTAGAATAATATTAAGGATTAATACAAAGATCCATTTGAAAAAATTAGAGGCCTTAATGTTATTGCATAAGAAGGTCTGGGCAGAGGTCACAGACCGTGCAAGGCTCAATTTGATGTAGATCTTAAAATTTAATTGATATGTTTAGAATTTATCTGTTATACTTAATCACAATCCCATCAGCGTCTCTTATATTTATTTGGGGTGCTGCATCACCCTTCTTCCCCTTCCTACCACAGTGACTATGGAGAAACAAACAGTGAGGAAGATACTACAATCAACGGTTTGCTGCTAAGAAGTATTCTGCCTCCTGTGGGGATCAAAGGCTCCTGTTTTCTATTCTATCACCATTCAGTTAATTCAGGGCTGGTGCTGTTGGAGCACTTTTGGAGCAGTTTTTTAAGCTGAAATTGGGATTTAAAACCATATTAGGAAATAACAGTTTGAGAGAAGAAGCAAAGGAGGGTTGTTTGAGGATACCAAGATCTGGGGATAGTTGGTGACGATATTTCCCATTATGGTGTAGAATGTTTCACTGTAATTTGAAGCAAGGAATTCCCTGAAAAATAGAGGAGAGATAATGAGATTTATTCATTCTAAAAATCTCACGCACAAAACTAGTCCTTTGGTGGAGGAACCTCAAAACTGCCTTCAAATCTCATCATGTTCCTCTTCCCGATAAAGATTAGAGAAATGACATCAAGCACATTCATGAAAAACCTTGCAAAAGCTAGATTCATAGCTGTATAAATGCCAGAAAAAATCAACAAAGATTCAGGCAATTTTAGCAAACCAGATTTTTTTTTAATCTAAGAAAATAATTTGTAATGAGCAAATAGAGTTTTAGTGCAGAGATGCAGGGATGGTTTAACATTTAAAACAAGTAACTATAAATTGCACTGATTGGAATGAATTCCAGTTTCAGATGTGACCCTTTCACTTATGAATGTGACTCCTTAGTCCATCTTCAAGTCTTTAACAAACTAGCTCTTTTGTGCTAAGACAAAGCAATCCCAACACACTTCTCCATGAGAGTTCCCAAACTAATATGGAGAGTCCATGACATATCTTCAGGCATTCAATAAACAGAAGCATAATATGAAACCATTTGAGATGCCAATAGGTACATTTCAAATTGATTTATAAATTCAATAAAACCCCAACTGAAATTTCAGCAGAATTGACAGGGTGATTCTAAATATACGTAGACATGCACTGAGACCTGGATCATGTTATTTTTTAATGCATTTGTTTCATACAGATATTGGGGGAAATGGGAAACAGCGCTGAAGAAAGACAGAAAATTCTCTATAAATATTAGCTTTGTTCATGCTGAGAATGTACAGTGACTGAGAAAGTACTAATGAATTAATACTCTCTTTAGATAGACCAGATTGAATGTAAAGTACTCCCAAGAATCAAAATAGGGAATAATTTAGTAACTGAAGAACAGAGTCTACAGCCTTTAAGCTGCTGAGATGTGATAAATGTATACTTCAAGAGAAGAATTCACATATAAATAGACTTGAAGAATTCCCTTTACTGGCTGTTTATACAAAAATGAGGATACCAGAGGCACCTAACCCTGCAAGGTATGGAACCAAATTAGCACTTATCTTGGCCTAAACTGGGCATGGTAGTACACACAGGTAGTCCTAGTGCTAGGGAAGTGGAGGCAAGATAACCAGGAGTTTAGGGTCACCCTCAGCTGCACCATGAGTTTGAAGCCAACCTGGGCTACAAGAGACCCTATTAATAAAACAAAACAAAAGAAAACAAAATACGTACCTTGATTTCAGAAGGTGGAAGATTAAAGTTTTTCTACCTACTTTAATTTCATACAACAATTCTTCCTCATGAGTCTCCTGAAAAACAAGATCCTTTATGTGACATCCCCACCTACTTAGTGTTAAGGATCATTACCCACCCATAGCTCCACACAGTCCCTGAAGGGAAGAAATACTGAAAAAGACAATGTAAAGAAAAATAGTGCTTTAAGGATGATTTTACTCATATTTTAGTCAAAATTTTCAAAGGACTTATTTCTTGTAATGAACTAAAATGAATAATGTATATTCTCCCCTCGTCTGGGGATATGCATACTGCTGTTTCACTATTTTATTTCTTTATGTTTTGTAAGAATACTTTATAATGCTGGCTCACAGTTGTGTGCAAAACGAGGGTCCCTGGCTTCCTATAGTCATGCCAGCACAGCAGACAGAAGTCAGATAACCAAGTAACTGCGTGAGGAAATCATCATAACAGAAGAGATGTACAGAAGAGATGTATGCCAGCAACACAGAAAGGAGGGCTCAAGGGCAGGACACAACACACGCAAAGACACTGAGGTAGGAAGGAGCTTGGCATATCTGAGGAGCAGACAGAAATTCAGTGTTGGCAGAAAACTGAGTGTGAATACAAATGAGAGGGAAAAGATCTAAATCATGTGCCTCTTAGTAAGTTGAGGATTTAGACTTTCTCCTAAGAGCAGAGAGATGAGAAAAAGGGCAGGGGGCTTGGCAGAAACAAGCAGAGCCAAGTATGATACTTTAGAAGGTCTACTTAGTATAGATAATGGGCTGGCAAAACCCAGTACTATAGACAAAGATACCATAAAGGTTTTTGATAGAAGGAAGATGATTTGAGCAGCAAAATAAAAGTAGTAAGTGATTTCAAAAAGCACTCCTATGTTAGAACTAAAAGTCTTGGACAGTGTTTGATGGAGAAGTAAGATGGGCCACAAATGAGCCCAGGTTTCTGGTGTGTCTAATTATTTTAACTCTGCCACTAGGACAAGGAAGATTTGAAAAAAGGCAGCTGGGGTGAAGGAGTGGTTTTTGAATGTGGGTGTGTATAGTTAAGGCCTTTTAATTCCAGGTTTTAAAAAGTTAGGGCTTAGAACTCATAGCTGGGCATGCAAGAAATGAGGAGTCCAATCAGTTGAGAAGGATTGAATTAAATATTAAATTAAGAGTGGGTTTTTCTATATTTCAATATTTAATGTAAATTTTATATTAGATAATATTAATAAAGTAATACTTATTGTACAATATTCTTTAATATCTTATCATAAATATTGTCTTTAATAAACTTGGTTTACTTTTATTTGGAAGTTTATTTTTCATTTTTAGTAGTTTATTAAGATTTTTGTACATTTACTATAATACATCTTCATCAAACTTAGACCTCCTCCCTGCCCCCCCATATCCCCCATCAGATTTCAGGTATTCTGTCATGTATGTTAAGTCCTATTTGGCCAAGCATTTCTATCCAGGTGTCCCTGGGAAATATTTTTTTAAGATTTATAATTATTTGGAATGATAGCCCTGAATTCCTAGTCAGTCTGCATCCAAGCTTTCTGTTATCAATGCTTTACATTGTTATGATATAGCTCTCACAACTAATAAACCAATATTACTATCATTGCTAATGAAAGTCCACATCTATTTGTATGCCCTTCGTTTTTAACGGATGTCATTGCACTTCATAGTCCTGTCCCCAGTACCATGGCATGTTTTCTTCTCGTAGCTCCTTAGCCTTCCCAGCCTGTAAGTTTCTCAAATGTCCCCTCTTTTGATGACTTTGACATTTTTGCAGCTCACTTATCAGATGTTTTGTGAAATGCTTCTCAGGTTTTCTGAAAGTGCATCTTAAAGGTAGACTGCAGTTAGGGTTTTCCCAGTGAAAGCCACTAAAGACAGTTCCATTGTGTCATATCAAGGGTACATACTGTCAATATGACATCCTGTGGGTGATGCCAAACTTTGTCAATGGCTGAGGTCTCAGTCACAATTTTATCTCTGTAAACTGACTCTTTCCTTTCCTCATACTCTGTACTCTGAAATGCAGCCATAACGTGCAGCATATTGTTAAGGAGTGGGGACTTGCGCCCCACCTCCTGGAGAGGGAAAGATGGACTCAAATCATTGTTCTTCTGTGAGGAAAATAGGTCTACCCTCCCACTTGTTTCTATTTATTCAGTTATTTGTTTACATCAGTGAGGCACATGGATCCTAATGGATAATTTATATTTAGTAAAGGTCACATCAGTTATTTTTCAAGGTGCCCCAGTTTTGGTTCTTGGGGGCTCTAAGTTTGCTTCTGAATTCTTTTGACTTGACAGTACCAATGTGGTTTTGCAGTTTGGTGGTGGGCTTTTGTTGGTGGTGGGGCACTTTCAGCACTGCGAGTTGCTCTGGGCTCATCTTGTACACTTCCTCTCCCAGACCAGAGCAATGTCGCATATTCATAATGGAACTCTTAATGTCCTTCTTCACTTTCTTAAGGTGATTGCTGGTAGCAGAGCCCCTGAACTTCGGCACAGTGGGTGCTAGGAAGCTAGAATTTCCCTCTTGGCTAGGTGTTGACCTTCAACTAACATAAAGGTTTGACTTTCCCAAAGAGAAAAGAGTTGGAGATCAACTTTTCAACAAAGAAAAGTTCTTTGTAAAATAACTTATTGGAGAAAAATAGTAAGGCATTATCTCCAGATGATAGGTGACAGAGAGTGACTTCTTAGTTGTCTCAAGAATGAGGTGTCAGTAAGACCATCTGGGAAGCAGAAATGCATCTTATTTATGACTGAGAAACCTATCAAGGGAGGGATTAGAAAGCTGGCTGCTGCCATGGGAATGGGAAGAAAAATCATCATACTGGAAAAGACCTGTACTCTATCACTGTCGGGCTAAGATGCCTGTCAGTATTTCTTCAAACCTAGGATGTAAAGTGCAGATTTCTAATGATAAATATCTACGGACACGTATCTGAGATCTGTATGACCTTGGAAATTGAGTAAATCCTGAAGCTTGTTCCCTCTTCAGTATTTTGTCTATCATCTTAAAAAAATATTTTGCCACTTTTATTATCTTATGTGTATGAGTATATTTCCTGCATGTATTTAGGTCACCCATGTTGTGCAATGTCCACAGACATCAGAAGAGGCCATTGGATTCCCCTCAGAACTGGAGGTATGAGCAGTTGTTAGTTGCCATGTGGGTGCTAGGAATCAATCTAGGTCCTCTGCAAGAGCAGCCAGTGGTCTTAACTGCTGAGCCATCTCTCCAGCCCCTTTATCTACCTTCTATAAAAATATGGATTACTTCTGAGAATAGAATCGTGGCTGTGCTCAAGATTTCTCTTCTGTTTCAGAGGAATCCTTTTAGGATGAACCAGTTCTTGACCCTCTACTCCAAAGATCACCTTTTCTAAAAGAAAACATAATGGGAAAACCATGGGATGTTGAGACTCATCTTCAGGGGCTTGCCCAGTGGAGCGCTTCTCATACAGTTGCTGCACTACCGGCTGCCAACAATGCTCTCAGAGCTTCTCATTTTGCAATGTAAGGGAGTTGAAATGCGTCAGGAAAATACAAGGGAAACTGGAGATGTGGGGGGAGGGTGAAGACAGTGTCACTTATCACCTTGTTCTGAAGTTACTGCTTTGTTATTTTATCCTCTCTGTGCCCTGTCTCCAGATGTGGCCTCCTATCAAAGCCTGTACAGGAATGGCCTGTTTATATGTGAATAGCCATTGTTTTTCATTTAGGGATGTTTACATCGAGGTCTCAACTCCCATGAGTAAGTGCCAAGCTTCCACTTGTTAGATAATGTTAGGTATCCCCATGTCAGTGTTAAGCACCATCTTTTATCACATCCTATCACATTGTTCCAGGTGAGCTTGAACCTTAAACAGCAGTAAGGATGAGAGGGCATTGGTTTTGGGAATGTGCCCAGATTTGAATCAGGGCTTCACCAGTGTATTAACTGTCTGACTGTGAGTAACACATCTAATGTCTCTGAACAGTGTTTGCAGAAACATTACTCTCATATTTCTCATCACTGAGGCTGAAATACAGGCATAGACTTTTCTACATTCCAACATACAAAGCAGCCAGTGGTTAGCACAGTGCCTCTGTACTGTAAGTATTTAGTCAATACCCTTCCTTCCTCCTTCCCATAATTGACAAGAGTGTTTAAGAGGGATACTATTTTTCAGAGATAATGAAAAGAATAACACATACCTGTAATCTGTGAAATGAGGACAGTCATCAAAATTATCCCCTTGGGGAACATTCTGAATGGTTCTGGTAGGAAAAGGGAATGGGCATTTGAGAGACGCTGTGCTTCGCTCTCTGTTTCTGTCGCTACCGCACATATGCAGAAGCTAGCAGATAGGTGGGCAGTTTTGATCCCACACAGGAAGCACTCCTAGATCCAGTTACACAACCTGTTCAGAGCTTGGGGCTAAAACTCATGTGTTGGACATCGTGTACTAATTAAACACAACCACTGAGATGGTGGAGGTGGAGGTGGACTTGGCATAGATTCCTATTTCATGTCTAATATGATTATAGATGTATTAAAACTTCTGAAGTAAAAAAAGAGTCATTGAGTGATGTTTATGCACACTTTGGATGAAGAGATGAAGTTCTTGCCTTATAGAAGACCAGATATAAAACCATCCAAAAGCATTTCAATAAAATAAAAATTTTAAATTTATAAATGTTACAAGTCACATATCAGTTAAAAATTAGGATATACAGTTAAAGGCAGGACTAAGTAGCTTTATAACATAAAACTGTTTTTAAAATATATTATTTTTATTTTATGTGTATGGCTGTATTGCCTGCATGCGTGTGAGTGCACCCATGTCATGCAATGTCCTTGGAGATCAGAAGAGGGCATCAGATCCCTTAGAACTGGAATTATGGACAGTTGTTGGTTAGCCACCATGTGGGTGCTGGGAATCAAACCTGCGTCCTCTGCCAGAGCAGGCAGTGCTCTTAACTGCTGAGTTCTCTCCAGTCCAATAGAGAATTGTTTTAAATTAAGATGTACACACACACACACACACACACACACACACACACACACACCATTAGACAACTGTACAAGAGGTATTACAAAGCCTCTCCCCATCTTGGTGTTGTTTGTATGTTGTTTGTAGAATAGCTCCACTGTAGATACATCACCGTTTTCCCTTCTGGGGGTGCTGTCTCCTTCCTCAATCCACATTGTCTCATATTTCCACAAACTGAAGCAGTCTAAGTCAACAGGAAGTTTCCTTTGATAGTTAAAGAAACTCACCACACTTCCTGTTGAATACTGCTGTCAGCTCAGACTCTGCCTGCTCCCCTGGACTATCATCTTTACCATTGTCTCTTCAGCTAAACTCTCTCAGCTGCCTGAGGCAGTCTCATCCCCACATATTCCACTCATGCCATCTGCCTTTATTGTTCTACTGAAATAGCTGACTTTTGTCTCCAGTGATCTCACCATTTCTATGTCATTTGACATTTGATTTCTCCTGTCTCCCTCTTAATGACATTTGTCCCCACCTTGAAATATTCTATTTAGCTTTCTTAATATAATTGTCATCTTAACACCTTTCTAGCTCTCTGCCAACTTAGAGATATAACCTCTTCTACAAAGTTTTTGAATTTTGAAGATCGTCAGGGTATCATCTTATACCCTCTTTTTTCTCTTTTAAGCTGTGTTTACCTTCAGTTATGTTTCAATAATTCTATGATGTGCCTCCTATTTTATATTTCCAGCCAACTTTCCACTCAACCTCTTCATTGGAAGAACTCCAAGTACCCGTAGGCTCAAGACCAGCAAGATTAAAGAACAGTTCCCCTCTATTTGTTCCCTCTTAGGCGGTGATGCCACTGTTCCTTTAGCATCCCACTTCAGGAGCCAGTATCATCATTGCGTACTTCATAAACCATCACTAAGCACATTTATTTTACCTCCAAAATATGTCACATTTGATTCTTTCCAGATCTTCCACCTCCATCCTAATTCAATCAATCAAAGGCTCAGTTTGGGCACACTCTAATAAATGGAATCTTTCTAAACTGTAAATTGATGATGTTATAGACCAGGTAAAAATGCTTGGCTACTTTTCCATTGGTGTTAATACTCATTTGGTTTCAGATCCCCCAAATATTAATGACTTGGCACACTAATCAGCTCTTCTTTTGACAATCTATGAAATAATTCTGTTCTCATGCTTCCTCATCAATGCCTAAACCATAAGGATGGTATGCACAGAAAATGACTCAGCTGGTGAGAGCACCTCTATCCTGACCTGTGTGTCCTCTGCTCTCTTGGTTGACCATGTAGCACTGTTTCTTCTCTTCAACTTTCAATCTCCTCTTCCTCAGTCTTACTGAATTGCTTCACTTTCTGTTTCATAAGGAAAAAAAGACACCTGCACAGGTGTAGACCAGTTCCTCTGCTTCTGTGGATGCAATGTCCACACTTCTAAGGTCTAACCTCCAGTGATGTACTAAAACTTCTTCCTTCTCGCCTCCTGAACTCCATTATTCTCTAGCTCAACGGTATGATCTCAGTTCATAGACACAAACCAGCCATTGCTTTTCCTACCTTTTAAATAGTATTTCTTCTTTTACATCTCTCCCTCCTCTTAGCTCTTACCTATTCCTTCTTCCCTCTAGTACTACAACTTGTTGAAGTTTGAGTCTGTAGTTTGCCTGCATTTCCTGTTGGATTTTTACACTTCATCTAATAACGTAGTTCTTACCAACATTACCTGTGATTTGCACATCAGTCCTAAAGGCCGAGACTGATTCTCAGTTCTCATTCACTTGACCTTGCAGCTGCATTTGGCACAGGGATCATCTTGATCCTTTGGAGAGCATTTGTCTCCCTGGATGCCATGCACCCTCTCCATGCCTGTTCCTGGATTCTCCTGTCTCCTTCAGTGGACCTTCTTTCTCTCTCAGCATCTGAAGCCTCCAGATTCCCAGATTGAATTTTTAGAACTTTTCTCTATAAATTGAAGTAATCCTCTACTAATATTTTCACTTTAGATATCATTCCAAGCACTGATGAGGGCCCAACTAATTTATCTAACTTGACCTTTATACTCTTAGAAGAAATTCATTTTTCAACATCTTCAGTTGAATTACTGTCAGATATATCAAATACGTATAAAATCAGAAATCTTCTCCTGCCCTCCCAATGTGGCATCTTCTTAGTCTCTCTTATCTCAGATACCACAACTCCATCTTTTCCGTCACTCAGGCATCATCCTTCAGTCTTGCCTGACAGCTTGCATCCCATCCATCAGCAAATCCAGTTTCTTCTTCTGGAAAAAGCACCAAAGATCTGATCACCCCTCACATTTCCTTCTCCTGTGTGGATCTAAGACATCATCAGCGTTACCTCTAATCTTTATCCTAGTTTGAAACAGTTTCCTAATTTCTCTTACTGTTTTTCTCTTGTTCCCCACTATACACATATGTGTGTGTATGTATGTATATATATATATATATATATGTGTGTGTGTGTGTGTGTGTGTGTGTGTGTGTATGAATGAAATGATTTCATCAATGCACAGAACAATACAAGATTCTCCCTCCCAAATCTTTTCAATAATTTTTTTTATCTCAGAAACAAAGCCGTATGATAGCTTCTGGGCTCTGCGTGACCTACTTTGACGCTCTTTGGCTTCATATCTTACAGCTTCTCGACTCATTTGCTCTGAGCCAAGTGCCATTGGTCTTTGAGTGTTTATGGAGTATGTCAAGTGCATTCAGCTTCAAGGGCCTTGGCTCACTGTCCCTCTGTCTGGAATGTTCCCCTCTAAGATAGTCACATGACTAGCTTCCTCTCTCTTTTGAAGTTTCTACTCAAATATTATATCAGTGATACAATATTGTATCTCCAAATGTCTTATGTAAAACAGGCCTTTCTTTTCTCACATAAACACCTATGACCCTCTGTGGCCCTGCACTAATCATCATCTGAAAGGCTGTTTGCTAAACTATTTTTTTTCTAATTACCTGACTTCTCACCTTTAAATGAAACTCTTTGAAGAAAAAGATTTTATCTGATTTACTTACAGGTTCATTTGCCATGCTTGGAGCAGTAGGTCATCAATACATATTTACTGAATGAATATATTAGTTCATTGATAAATTTGGAAAAATATCTTTTGTAGACTAAGCTTTTATTAAAAGTAAAGTATAGGAGAGGTTGTGGAGATGTTAGAGGAATTAAGAACCTCTCTTGCAGAGGACCTAAAATCAGTTCCCAGCACCCATGTTAGAAAGCTCACAACTGCCTATAACTCTAATTCCTGGGGATCTTATGAGCTCTTCTGACCTTTGTAGGCATCATACTCATGCACAAAAGCCATACACATATAAATGTAATTAAGAATAAAATCTTTAAAAGTGAACTATAATTTTTTAGTGTTTAATCATTAAGAAGCTATGCAGTAAGATAAACACATGCTTAGAGCCCGATCACCTGGGGTCAGTTTTCAGTGCTTGAACGTTCATCTGCATCTGTCACGTCCTCCTTTTCTTTCTTTCTCTGAGTTCCAGGTTTTCTGACTGCCTTTCTTTCCTCTGATACACTGCCTTTTGAAGGGCATCCGGACATATTTGCCTTTCCGCCTGTCCTCCTTGTGACCAAATTCATTCTTTTTTCTTCAGTTTGAGGGTCACTATCCTCAAAGAAAATCCCAACCCCCAAGTCCAGCTCATATTTCTTAGCAAAACAAGATTCTCTCCTTCTAAAATTTTATGTTATTGAACCAGACATTTCTCTTTATTCATAATTTTTATTTTTTGGAGAATTTCATACAATGTATTTTGATCATATTCAGGCCCCTTCCCCTCTCCAGTCCCTCCCCTTCATGTCCTCTGTTATTATTTGTATTTTTAAAGGTCCCATGCAGTCTAATCTGTGTTTCCTAAGTGCTCTTGGGTGTGGGTATATCCCTTGGAGAAATCAGACATTTCTCAGTCCAATTATTTAAATATCTGTGATGACTAAGAATATTTAACTGTGTTATGGAAAATAGTATTCCTAGTTCCCAGTATATATGAACTATAACTAATTCAAAAAGTCTGTAATTTAGTAAGGGCACATTGTAAGTGGAAATCAGAGACCGGAAAAGTCTGCTGTGCACCATCTTCTTTTAATTCTATACCAGGACATTTTGATTTTGAGTGAAAGAGAAAAGTTCATTTTTCTCACCATTACTGAAAGATTGCTGTTTAAAACCAGAACATTATCCTTCATTCCTACTCTCTACT